CCCTTTCCCTAAAATGTTTCATGACTTCCCTTCACTATTGGGATAAAAACCAAATCCTTAACATGGCCCATCCATGGGGCCTTACCTGGTGTGGGATGTGCCTAATTTACTTCCTTTTCTCTTGCACAACTCTGGTCTCTTTTTTCATTTGCTGTTTCCCTTTCCTTCACTTTCCCACCTGCTATGGCCTCTTGCCTCCCCACACTGCCTAGTTAGTGCATGCTTAGCCCTCCCATCTCATCTCAAATGGCACGTCCTCAGGGAACCTTTACCAGCACACCATCTAGATCAGAACCGTGTATGCATATGGTTCTTTGCTCCCCAAAACCACCTTCCTGCTTGATGGGTTGCTAGGAGGATTTGCTCGACTCAGATAACTGCCGTTATACTCCGTCTGTGACAGCTCAAGGACACAGGTCAAGGTCACCAAAGGGAAAAGGCACACGGTAAAAAGTCCAGGGGAAACTGAGCCAAGCTTCCAGGTGTTCCCTCCCAGTGCAGTCACACAGGGGCTTGCTTAACTTTTTTGGCAAAGATGTGTGACAATATGTTCAAGTATCGCCAATGAGGGAAAGTCACCCAAGCTTCGGTGTCCAGGGTTTCTTCCTGAGGCATGTAGTACCTTCGTGACTGACCGTAGATACTCGGTGGGATCGCAGAAGGCAAACGTACGGTGTGGCTCAGAGCCTCAGGCATACAAAACCCACCATTCTCTGTGAGTCACACTGTTAGCATAAATTACCTGGTCAGACTGATGCAGCGGGGCCTGCAGATACAGGCCTAAAGTCACTCTTACCAGGCCAGATGTTCAAGGACTCATGTTGTCTTCCTGGAGCTGGTCAGGGGCCAGTCCTTTGGGATGCGTAGCAGTTGAGCAGCCAAAGCCTGTTCAATGAGCACTTTCCTGCACAGTCCACCGTGCTGGCCCTTGGCTTAGGCTCTGTGACAGCAGAACAGTGATACCTGCCTGAGCATCTCTATGTAGGAAAGCATTTCTGGGAAGGTGCACTTCAGTATCGTCAGAAATCTGCTTACCATATGAAGGAGGCAGTGTGGGGTATGGGTAGGTTAAAATAACAACAATCCATAATGTGAAACTGTTATATTCATATCCGTATTTCTCTACTAATTCAATAACTTGTCCCTTCTGATCAACTATTTATATTTTGTGATAAACCGCCTCCCCTGTCACTACCTTAATTTAAATCCTCATCCTCACCCATCTGGAAAACAGCCTAACAGATCTTCCCTTTTCTTGCCCCTCCTATAGTTTAATTTCCACGCAATACCCAGACTGATCTTTTAATTCACGAATCAGATTACATTACCATTCAGCTCAAAACCCTCCAGGATAGTTGTCTATTTCACAGTGTACTAACTATATATTTTTAGTTTTCTGTGGTCTGGCATCTAGGGCCTTGCTGACTGGGGAGACACTGCCCCTCCCTGGACTAGGTTGACAACTCTCTCAGGACCTCACTTTTCATATGCAAACTAACCACCTCTCTCTGGCTCCTAAACTCCAGGAGGCAGCATTCCTCTACCCTAAAACTCCAGGGCCAGGTACCAGACAAGGAGTGATCCGTTTGCTCCAAAGTCCCTACATTGTATTCAAACAAGTCAATCCTAAACTGTTTACCTGTCTTGCCTTGCCTTTCCTGCAAAATACACAATAAATGTGCTGGGCCATGGTTTCTCCATCATAGCTGCTGCCTCCCCATACTGCCTTGTATGGTATGCCTGATAGAATAAGACAGTTAGACTTGAGCTGGAGATAAGGGTGGTGATAAATAGGTTACACGTGAGAAGCCTGGGGTCACACATACTGACTGGCTTCCAACACCCCAGGGCTGACAGACCAAGAGTCACAGGTGCAGAACCTGTGTTCTCCTCTTCCACCTCTGCATCCTTACAGTAAATTTTCACTGCGGTTTTGTCCCTTCCCCCATGGGGGAAGGTTGCCAAGAGGGTTCTGGTACAAACCAGTAAGGTCAAAAATCCCCTGCCAACCAGTGGGAGGAGTCCCCCAAATGATTGGAAGTAGCCACCATTAGAGTCCACCCCCTCCATGGATCTCTGTAGCCTCAGGGCAGTTGTCACCTCTGGGCCTGCCTGCTCTCCCACCTTGACAGTGTACTGTCCTTAATAACTGCTTTGTGCGTGCTACCTTCCTTCTGGCTGTCTATCTGAGAGTGGATCCCCACGTAAATCTTTCATGGGGAATCCAAGAACCAAGATTTCCATTCATACAACGCAGAATCTCCCATTGGTAGCATTCCCTGACTCTTATTTGTGGGGATCTGTGAGCATAAACTTCCTTCGTGACAATCACTTCCAGGTCTGCTGCCTTACGATATCTGATTAAACAAATAACCGGTACATTTTAGAACACATTCTGGAGCATATTACAACCTCCTTACAAAGGCTGACAAGGTTCTATACAATGTCTCCATTTATCTAACTCCTCTCGTCCCACTTGAACCCCTGCAGTCCCCTGCAGTTGTAGCTCTAGACACACTAGCCTTCTTGCTTTTTCTCAGGCACCCCGTGCTCTCCCACCCCAGGAATGTCTTTCTCAAAAGACCTAGGAGCTATCTCTGAAATGCAAACATCAAGGGAGATAGCATCCCTATCTCCCAATTTCTGTGGTAAAGTAGAGGCCTAATTTTGGGGCACCTTGCTCCAAGTCGCAAAACTGAAAATTAAGGGAAACCTCATTTAAAACAGCTGGATGGGGCGCCTGGGTGGCTCAGTCATTAAGCATCTGCCTTCGGCTCAGGTCATGACCCCAGGACCTGCTCGGCGGGAAGCCTGCTTCTCCCTCTCCCACTCCCCCTGCTTGTGTTCCCTCTCTCACTGTCTCTCTCCCTCTGTCATATAAATAAATAAAATTTTTTAAAATTAAATAAAAATAAAACAGAGCTGGGAGGCAAGAAGGGAGACCTCTCACACAGCACCACTCCAAGTCAATCTCAGGAAGAACTGTCAATTATAGGCCCCATCAGGGAAATAACGGACGCTGCATTTCCCACAAGATCAACCATCCCTGCGACTCTGCCAATGAGAAACTGTCATCACCTTGAACTGTTGCTCTTCTCCAAAGGATTCTGCTCAAAACAACCGTCCCAACTTTCTCCTCCTCCATAAAATAACTTTCCTCTTTGTTGAATTTGCCTATGGTTTTACCATAGCTTGCATGTCTCTAATTGCAATTCTATGCTATTTCCAAATAAACCCATTTTTGCTGGTAAAATAACTTTTATTTTTAAGGTTAACACTACCTTCTACCCTCAGGTAATAAGTTTGTTTTCCCTTATAGAAAGCCAATGTAGCAGCAGGTAGGCAGCCCAATTACTAGGTAAATTTAGGATAAATTGCATAACAAGTGGTGCTGTCATGTTTTCTTACTTGAGGACTAATTATTGTCCATGTTGAAAATATGTAATGGGAGGGGCGCCTGGGTGGCTCAGTCGTTAAGCCTCTGCCTTCGGCTCAGGTCATGCTCCCAGGGTCCTGGGATCCAGCCTCATGTCTGGCTCCCTGCTCCGCGGGAAGCCTGCTTCTCCCTCTCCCACTCCTCGTGCTTGTGTTCCTTCTCTCGCCCTGTCTCTCTCTGTCAAATAAATAAATAAAAATCTTAAAAAAAAAAAAAAAGAGGCTACCTCCGTTAAAAAAAAAAAAAAATGTAATGGGAGACACTGAGAAAGCCAGTATCTGCTTGGCTATATGAAAGGGTATCTTTCTGACTTTGCCATCTCCTAGCGATTATCTGTGATACGGCATCAAATTCTGGTTTAGGCTTTATTTGGTAAAAAACTTTTTTCTCTATCTTTGTGGAGAGGTTTTCTGGGTTGGGAGAAGATTTTTTTCTTTTTAAATTCTGTTTCTCCAACAATTTATATTGTTACCTGTCTAAAAGAATTCCATTTAAAACTTTTTGAAACTTCCGTATTTGCCAAATAGACATGTGGATTGATTTTACTATTTGAGACCCCAAATGCAAACTGATTAAAGGGTCTGTGAAAATAAAAGGGAATTTCACTAGAATGGAGTCAGGAGGCCGGGGGTGGGGCCAAGCTCTCACATGCTGCCTAGGGATGTCAATCACAGACCCCAACAGAAGAATCCCCAACAGGAAAGAATGATCAATGATAGGCCCCAAGGAGAAAAGATGTACACAGCCTTCCCTACAAGCAGTAGACTACCCCTGAAACTCAACCGATGGGAAACTCTTTTACTCATCTGTTGCTTTTCTCCAATGGCCTTTGCTTCACAACTCCCAAATTTCCTTCTCCGTAAAAGTGTTCCTCTCCTATGTTTGAGGGACGAGCCTATCGTTTTTGCTGTAGCTTCTTGTCCCTCGTTGTAATTCTCTGTTATTTCCAAATGAACCCATTTTTTCGCTGGTCCAACAAATACACGGAGGCGTCATCGCGCCGGACGCGCCTGCAGTTCCAGGCTGGGGGAGGCCCCGGGGCTGTGGGGTGGAGTGGGGAGTGCGGGAGCTGCAGGACATTCGGCGAGGAGGCAGAAATCGCGGGGAACGGGGAGCGGCCCAAACGCGACACGACCGCGCGCACGCGGTTTCCGACCTCGCAGGGGCACCCCGGCGGCTTCCTGCGGTGGGTGCCTGTTCATTCCCACGTGCGCCACGTCAGCTCATTAACGGAGTCGCGCGCTCCTGGATTTCTGTAGGTACTCATTCAGTGAGACCCGTTCGCATCGTGCCCTCTCGGCTGCCCTCCGCTCGTCCTGCCCTTCCTGAGGTTCCCTTCCTTCCCGAAGCCCCAGCTCCTGGCGTCCGCCCCGCCCCAGCGACCCGCAGGTGCCCGCGCCCTGCAATCTCATTGGCTAAGCGTGTGCGGAAGCTCCCATTTCTGCCTCTCCTATTGGGCACGCTGCCTGCTCGCTCAGAAGTTCCAACCAATGGGAGTCAATCAGGAATTGCTGGCTCAGCCAATGAGGGCGGCGAGAGGATAAAGGCCCCCGGCGCAGGCGTGCCGGGGTTGCCTCGGTCTCCGTGCGTCCGAGGCTGCGAGCGGCGCGGGAACCTCCCGGGGGCGTCGGTGCAGGCGCTTTCCCGAGGCGGCGAGGGCCAGGGGGGCACCCGAGGAGCGTCACCCTCAGTATCTCCTACCTCACGCCTTTTCCAGGACATTTCCAAAGGGCCCAGGAAGGCCGTCCTGTCGCCATCGTCTCTTGTCGGGAGCCACCCAAACGCTGTGATGAAGTCGGGCGGTGTTGGGCCCGCCGCTGAAGGCGAGAGGAGCCGGGGCCGGAGAAGAGGTTGCGAAGGGCCGGTGTCCGCTGTTGGGGGTGGAGGGTGCACAGGAGGAAGCGCTGACCTCTGTCTGTCTCAGGTCGCTGCAGCAGGCCACGTGGAGCTCAGCATCCCGCCCGTGTGAGTGTCTCCGGCGCCGTCTCGGCAAGTGGGAAGGGGGTGGGGAGAGAAAGGAGGAGCAAGCGGCACGTGTTCCGTGTTGGCTCGCGGACTGAGAGCTGATGACCGGACAGCCTGGCTGTGCCCCTAGCAGGGCAAGGGGCAGAGGTGGGGTTAAGTGAGAGGAAGGTGAGCATTCACAGTCCGATTGCCCTCCTCCCACCTCCCAAACTGAGGCTCTTTTGTTCCTTTCCTCTCAGGCGGCGCCTCACAATTGAGGACTTTGAAATCGGGCGTCCTCTGGGCAAGGGAAAATTTGGTAATGTGTACCTGGCTCGGCTCAAGGAAAGCCATTTCATCGTGGCCCTGAAAGTCCTCTTCAAGTCCCAGATAGAAAAGGAAGGACTGGAGCACCAACTGCGCAGGGAAATTGAAATCCAGGCGCATCTACAGTAAGGACAGTCTGTAGAACCCGGCACTGGCTTCTTACTCTTCTGCTTTCTCTTCCATCTCTGGCGTCTGAGCCCAGCATTCCCCCCAAACTACCCTCAGATAGGCCACCTTGAAGATTTTTTTCTGCAGTTCATTCCACTTGCACCATGTAATCGTCCCTGTTTCAGACACCAAAACCCTGATGCCTGCTCCTGTTCTCTCACACACTCCGGTATCAGGCTGCTGTTACTCTGGTCCCATCACAATTTGCCCTTTGTGTGACCAGGCACTTGTGATAGCATCAGGAGTTGGGTTTTATGAGTCTGACCCTTCCTCTGTCTCTTATACAGACACCCCAATATCCTACGTCTCTACAACTATTTCCATGACGCACGCCGCGTGTACCTGATTCTGGAATATGCTCCAAGGGGTGAGCTCTACAAGGAGCTGCAAAAGAGCCACACATTAGATGAACAGCACACAGCCACGGTGAGGCGGGGCCTGGGGGCTCTGAGGCCCATGAGTTTATTGTGGACTGGTGGGGGGGGGGGGGTCACTGCTTGTGGCTGTCATTATTGTCCAGGTTCTTTTTGTTTCTGAATTCTATACCTTTTATATAATGACACATACAGCCCATAACTTCACAGTTTGATACCCTGATTACCCCAGAATATTAATAATTAGTGTAAGCAAGACAATCTAACTCCACTACCTTATGCAGAGAAGCATGTTGAAGGCCTGTGAAGGAGTTCACTGAATAAGTGAGTGGAACTGGCTTATAGGAAGCAAGAGATTTCTAGAGGGCTCCAGATGGGGAATCAGAGCAACAATTATCCCAGCAAAAGCGCTGGGTCAGCTTGCTGTCAGAATGAGTGATCTTGCAATTTTCCTCCTGCTTTTGTATCATCTCTTCAGGCGTCAAATCCTGTGGGAGATCATCTGTTTAGCTCAGCATAGGTCCTGTGTCCAGCTACTTGCTGTTCTAAGGCAAAACGGAGGTTCTGTCCACTTTATCATCCATCCTATAAGACCACATAAAATGGGGAGAGGAATCCCTCCCCCACCAAAAATTGTGGTGCCATTAAGGAAGTAACAGGGTCGGTAAACAGGAAATAAAGAGATTCCACTACAACTATAAAATGCATGAGTATTTTATCTCATATGAAATTGTGGCGTGCTTCATTTCCTGATGGCTTTTTCTTTGCTCACTCAGATAATGGAGGAATTGGCAGATGCTCTGATCTATTGCCACGAGAAGAAGGTGATTCACAGGGATATTAAACCAGAGAACCTACTGCTGGGGTTCAGGGGTGAGGTGAAGATTGCAGACTTTGGCTGGTCTGTGCACACCCCATCTCTGAGGTAGGTAAAGTGGTGGTGGGGGCATGGGCCCTGGGTGCCACTTAGGAATGATCCAATTTAATTCATTCCATGTGTAAGACCCAGATACAAACTTGGTTTTGTATTTGAGTACTGCCTTTTTCATATGCATATATTTAATGTGCATTTGTAGATTGAAAGAATGTGGCTCAACCTTATCTTTTATCTTTTGATCTCTGTTAACATGTAACTTTCTCAGTAAGTTTCCATGTAAGTAAGAATCATTGCTCCATAACTCCAGGAATTTTACTTGGTCCCTCTTGATGCACCATCAGTTTCTTCAAAATCGCTATTGATGCCCAAAATATTCTGAAAACATCCTCGATCATGAGCCACATAGCTTTATGAATAATTCCAAAATATGGAATTTGTGGGTTCCAGTATTTGCCTTCCCTAAACCTTGATCCTTATTAAAACTTAGTGTTTCCAAACTCCCATGCTCAGGAGGGGACTGCTCGGACTTTTTAGGGTCTCCCATCTCACTGGAATATAGAAAAGGAGGGTTACCCTTGTTCTCGGCTTCTGCACAGTGCTCTCTTCCCTGCTGTCCTCTAGGAGAAAGACAATGTGTGGGACTCTGGACTACTTGCCCCCAGAAATGATTGAAAGGAGAACATACAATGAGAAGGTCGATCTGTGGTGCATTGGAGTGCTGTGCTATGAGCTGCTGGTGGGAAATCCACCCTTTGAGAGCCCTTCCCATAATGAGACCTACAGACGCATCCTCAAGGTAGGATGGCTACACTCTGGGCACTCACTAGGGAGCCAGGCCTGCAGAGCCTGGGGTGCACACAAAGGTTGTCCAAAAAGATCCAGAACAGTGCTTTGAAGGGTCTTAAGGAATGGAGAAAGCACGCAGCACAGAAATTAACCATGTTCTCTTTTTTTCTTCTCTGGCCTCATCAGGTAGATGTAAGGTTTCCCCCATCATTACCTTTGGGGGCCCAGGACTTGATCTCCAAGCTTCTCAGATACCAGCCTTCGGAGCGGCTGCCCTTGGCCCAGATCCTGGAGCACCCCTGGGTCCGGGCCCACTCTCAGAGGGTGTTGCCTCCGTCTTTTCAGATGGCTTCTTGAGCCCTGTCTGCACCTGTTTTATTGTTTTTGTCCAGGGAGCTCCCCTGGCTCTACTATCTTACCTGTCTTTTGTTTCTTCTAAGATGCAAGATGATAATTAATAAAAGCTGAATCATTTTGTACCGGTTCTTTATAGTTATTTGACTATGTAGTTATGTGACTGGGTAGAATCTTTATTTCTTGTAGAAACTCTTTCCTATGAGAGTGTCCCAAGATGATGTCCCTCCTGGTCCCCAAGGATGGTGACTCTACTCACCTTGAAAACTAGTTACTACTTTGTGAAGACGACCACCCTGGTGGTGTACAACCTACCACCTATCACATTTCTTCTAGACTCAATTTACTATTCCCCACGTTTTCAGGAGTATGCCATTTGCAAACCAGGACTCTGATCAACCCAGAGGTCCACCCTCTTTATACTGACATCCAGCATGTCTCTGAGACAAAATGTTTCACTGCACATCAATGCCACTCAATTCTCAAATGAATTCACTAGCACCTCCGTGGTGGGTCATATTCTGATTGCATCAAATAAGTCATCCCTAATAATAAATGTAACATCACATCTTCTGAAATCACATCCTCCACTTTTAGCAATTTAGGGAACTCTCTTGCAACTTTTCCCCGTATCCTGTTACAGCTGCATGTGTCAGCTACTCCCTCCATCCATGATAAGCTGACTGCACCAGAATAAACATCTAGACACAGTTGGGAGCTTAAACATGTTTTCTGCTCATCACAGGCATTGCCTTCACCACGGTCTCCGAACTTAAAAATACTTTATATGGAGTTAATGTTACTCCACCATATTCTACATGGCTTCCACAATGTGAAATTTCCAGCACATGCAAGACACATCTCTGCATGTGACCAGATCCACTAATTAAATATAAGTAACTCAGCTACTCCACTCTCCGATGGACAGCCCCATTATTGCAGATTTATCATTTTTTTTTTAAAAGATTTTATTTATTTATTTGAGAGTGAGAATGAGAGAGCATGAGAGGGGGAGGGTCAGAGGGAGAAGCAGACTCCCTGCCGAGCAAGGAGCCCGATGCGGGACTCGATCCCGGGACTCCAGGATCACGACCTGAGCCGAAGGCAGTCGCCTAACCAACTGAGCCACCCAGGCGCCCCTGCAGATTTATCATTTAAATGCTCCAGGACATTGGCTCATGGTTTTTCATCTGCACCTCCAGGGCCCATATTTCTGTGCTTTCTAGCTTTGTCCTATCAGTGCTCTCGAATCAATATTTCAATTAAACACCTGGAAATTCCTAAAAACTAACTGGTTTGTACATAGGAACCCTGCAATATTACTCAGTTTGGGTGCTGGATAAACTCACATCACCCGGCACATTTTGGGGGAGGTAGGTAAGCAGAGAAAAGACAACTAGGGCTTCCACATTGACTATTAGATGATACATGTCTAAATTATGAAAACTCTCAGACATGCTTTACAATAGGGATTTCAAAGTCCCCAATAGCTACATGGTTTTCCTCACCATTGATTCCGGACATTGTGCCGCCCATGACACAGAATATAAAAATCTTAACTTTGATATCTGACGTACATCCTACCCTCAAACCATTTAATTTAACCGTGTCAACCCCATGTGAAAAGAAGAATGTCTTTTCCAATTTGGTCAAATTACTATGCTCAATGGTGGATCACACTGTCCCTTGTGTGCTAATTAAGCCACATTTCTCCACAACCTCCTTTTATAAAAAGCATCTTTTTCTAGGAAATTAACTGCATCTTAATCCTTGATTCAGTCACTATGCTTTTCTCCACTTTTTAAAATTAAATTTTTTTTAGTTTTTATTCAAATTCCAGCTAACATACAGTGTAATATTTGTTTCAGGTGTACAATATAGCGATTCAACACTTCCATACATAACCCAATGCTCATCGAAAGTGCACTCCTTAATCCCCATCACCTACTGAACCCATCCCCCCATCCACCTCTCCTCTGGCAACCATCAGTTTGTTCTCTATAGTGAATAGTCTTTCTTAGTTTTCCTCTTTTTCTCCCCCCCATGATCGTTTGTTTTGGTTCTTAAATTCCACATCTGAGTGAAATCATATGGTATTTGTCTTTCTCTGACTTACTTTGCTTAGGATAATACACTCCAGCTCCATCCATGTCGTTACAAATGGCAAAATTTCATTCTTTCTCGTGGCTGAGTAATATTCCATAAAATAAATCTCTTGGCATTTTCTGCATACTGTTTCCATTTTCATAACCGCATGTATTCTCAATTCATTAGAAGTGAGATTTTATTCTCTCACTTTCATAGTCATGAGAAGAAAACAAAATAAGTCACTGACGGTGACTTGTAAGATTTTGCCTAATATAATTCTGAAAGGAATGTTAGCATTCCTCACACGATTTTGTTGGTTTCTTGTCTGCAACTACTCAATGCCAGGTTGGCTCAGGGTTCGCCCCTGTCCATTCCTTTCTCCATCTAGTCTCACTCTGTGTTGACTTGAGATAGCAGCATCTGCTAACAATTCCCGAATTTCCGTATCCGGCACGACCCCTCTGCCGGCGCTCAGACACAGGTC